GCATGTAAGTGGAGTCTGATAAAGACATTCTCTTCCTTCCTTTCTTCTCCAGTCCATTTCAGAAATGCAGGCTTATAAATGTGAAGTGGGGTAGAGAGGAAGAAAGGAGGGAGCACAAAAGACTACCACATAACGAGACCCCAGTTTCTGACTCTATCTACCCACCCCAATCCATGTGTCAATTTCATGACTAGCAGGTGAAATTCACAATGCTATGAGTCAGGGTATAGCAACAAAGACTGAACTAAGAAACACAACCAATTAAAACATCAATTCTCTGTGTGAGAATTTATTTGATAAAGAGTTCTACTATAATTTTATCTAAAGACAAGTAGTAATGAGCCGTCCCCTCCCTATAGTGTTCCCAAAGCTAGCATTCAGTAGACATTAGACTATGAAAGTACATTATGCATTCAATCAATCTTATCCCTTTTTGTGCATATGTGTGTGCAAGCACATGATGGCATGCAGAGAAAAAGTAACTCTATGAGGCTCTAAAACCTAAAGCACTTGCCAACTATCTGTGATCTAAACGTCACTTGTGGTAGCCTCCCTCACCAAATAATGAGCTGCCTCACACTTGCTGCTTCTGGCACATATTATATCTTTCCTATCCTACAAGCATGATCCCCTTTAAAAGTGAACTTCCTTTCTAAGCTGTAATCTTAATTCTCTTTTTGTTTAATCTTAATTCTTGTAAAGGTACCATTATGCAAAGGATTAGATGGGGAACAAAAACTATATGATGAAACCAAGTAGGCTGTTGTGCACATATAATCCCAAGCTCTCAGAAGGCTGAGGGAAGAAGATTCCCGAGATTTAGCCCTGTCTGGACTATGTAGCAAAACTCTATCTCCAAAAATAAACATATCAAAACTATATGAATAAAGGGAAAAACTAATGAGCATTTCCTCGAGGCCAACAACTAACAGCTTTAGTTTTAATGTCAGCTTATCAATCTTCATAACTTCTAAAAAAAGGAGCTATTGATCCATCACATCTTAGAACACAGTACTAGCTTCAAGTCATATTTATGTCTTAATCAAACACTGACACTGAAGGCTCCAGACATAAATGATACAGAGACAGACATACTAATTACCCTGGTTTGATCAATACATGCTGTACACAATATCAAGCTGAAATATAACAATGTGCTCCATCATAAACAATATAATTATTACCTGTTAATAAAAGGTGTTGAGGTTATTAGACAAGGATAAACAGCACACACAGAAGGAAGGCTTTCAATATAAGGTCACAAGCCTTAGAAAGTATCCACAAGACCTACACATTCCCCTTTGTGTGCATGTACAGCTAAGTGATACTAAGTGACAATTACCATTACTAATACACAGATTTTTCAAGGAGAAACATTTATTACATTCGGAAAATTTGCTTATTGTAGCTATTTACTTAATTTTCTGTTGTAATTACAATTAAACCTTTCATTTCAGGAATGAATAAGGAACCGAGAAAATAATATCAGCATCTAAGGAAAATGAGGACAACCTTGTCTCTAGGAAAAGAAAACAATACACTTGATTAAAAATCATTGCTGTTGCAATTCATAAGGACTAATTAATTTGTTTACTGCCATTTCTTTCTTTCTTTTTCCAGTCCTGAGACTAGAATCCAGGTCTTGGACATGTGAGGTAAGAACTCTACTAGTGAGCCATATCACAGTCCTGCCATTCCTTCTAAAAACATTAAGCATTTTCAATTAATTTTAATTAAGCATTAGGATTCATGAACACTAGGGGGAAATTTTACAAAATCAAAGCCATTTGTTCTTTATGCACTGAATTAAAGATCACCAAGGTCGTCTTAAAGATGATTTTGAAAGTTTCTAAAAATGGATAGGAGAAATTAAGTTTTGGGTCTACCTGAGTTGGTGACAGCCATTTGCCACTAAGTGTGAATGAAGGTGGGGAGGAGGATGGATAATCTGGTGGCAGTTCAAAGTTCAGCACAAGTGGTGGCAGAAAGCAAATGGTGTATTCAAAGCCACTATTCTGGAGACACTCATTTGAATTGCCTGAACCAAAAACAAAAACCAGAAAGGATCAGTTGATCAACACTGGGGTGTCCGAAACTACTGAGCAGTGCTCAGCCCTAATGCTTCAGTAGAAGGGATAAAAACCCTCCCCCAGAGCACTTTCTATGCCTTAAGGTTAATTCCCTAGTCTTCCTTCAAAAACAAAACACCTTACAAGCCCCTGAAAAACCTACTTAGGTGCCATGTAATGCATGAAGTCACACAACTCATCCTTATAAACATTCCTAGTACAATTCCTATACTAATGACAAAGTAATGCACAATGTTTTGTTTCATTATTGGTTCACGGTAGACAATTAAAGACACAATCTAGAGAAAAAAGACATTTATTTCTATGAAACAACCATGATTTACTAAGACCAGCATATGCCAACTAGTCATGAATCATTTGGGCAAGTATGTGCCAACAAAATATCAGGCTTGAGGACATAACACGGCACACAACACTCACAGTCACAGGGTCATCTAAGTGATCACAGGCTCTAGGAGAAACATTGTGAGAAAATGTGCATCAAGTTCTCTGCAAATGTATCAAAAACAGTTTTGTTTTTCTCCAACAAAAGGTGGCAGAGTAACAACATGCCCCATACCTGTCCATGGCAGTTACACTGATTCTAGAAACCATGTGGCACTCTAAGGTGCTCCAAGAACCTTCACAGCTGCTCTTTATTATCTGTTTTCTTTGATTGCTTCTAATTATCAACAACTGTGTTGATCAACTACTGATTGGAACACTAGGCTGCATGAAATATGCAGGTTCTCTCAATTCTGTGGTCAAAAAGGCAAGATCGAATCTTTTAAAACAAACATGCATTAAATCTGTGCCACCAATGCTTATCAATAATTCCTTATGGCTATATACACAAGTGACAAGTAAAATATTGTAAGAAATCAAGAATAACTTTTATTTAGAAAAATCTGTGTTAAGATACTCTTAACTAACCGCTCACAAATATCTTGAAATTCTGCGGCAGATCCAGATAGATCCTGGTTTCTCCACCTTGGACGGACTCTGCTTTTCTAAACTCATCTGCATCATAAATACTCGCCAGGGCCAACAGCTCATCCTCCTGGGCTTCTAGGTCTTCTGCCGACATTGACTTTCCTGAGGATTGAAGACAATCATTCAAATCAGGAGATGCGCGTAACAGGAAGTTTTATGGCATATAAAAGTTCCTTACAAACTACTGCAAAGGACTTATCAATCCTCTTTTCTGCTAAACACTTAGCACTTTGTGTTAAGTCTCCTTCACTTAGGTGGCTGGGGTGCTTCTAAGGACTAATCCAGAAAAACGACTACTACTTTGCAGTAGCTGCCCTCTCACAGCTACTGAAATGGGGACTGATCTAAATAAAATTGAGAGTGTTTTGCACATTCTAAAAGATACTACAAAATCTGAACACCTATTTAAATGACTTCATTTCCTTTCCATTTTTTTTCTAAACGTCCCCTGTCTGAAACAATTTCACTTTGAAAACTTTTCCTCAGCAGTTGGTACACTCTGCTTAGGGTTAGCCCTGTCTGAAACAGTGACATGTTCCATTTTAGGTCACTTAGTACCTGTTAGTAACAACCAGAAGAAAAGGATATTAACACTGCAGTCAGGATTTCAGTTCGGCTTGTAATTTGTGCAAATCCCATTTATTTTTCTAGCCAGTGGAGCTGAGACTGAAGTCCCACACCAAAGATGTGGGACTCAGAGATACTATGGAAATTCTGCCATCTGCAAAAAAAGAAACAGGAAAGATGTGTGAGGACTCTTTCCAGATTCAAATTCCCCATCTGTACTATCATCACTTAAGTCACACACCAACCTTAGTCCACAGACAGTATTATTCTCTGAGGACAGCTTGAGTCACGTGGTTAAAGGGCGACACACCTTATCAGACTGCCCTCAGCCCTGTAACTGAAGGTGGTTATGAGATGACGGGACACCACACCCAACCAACATCTTAAGTTTGTTTGTTGCTTTCTCCTTCCCTCCTCTATGTCTTCCGTTCCTTCATTTCCCATCTCTCTGGCTTTTATTCTCACCTGCACATAAATTAGCCTTGCAGGTGACAGAATTCTAAGGGTGGAATATACACATGAGCTTGTAAGATTTACTCTAAGTATTTAGAGCTAGACTTCCAGGACTGGGGCTCAGTGGGAGAGTGAGGTCCATGGACAAGTTATGAAGCATGAGGAACATGCAAAGATGTTACATAAAACTAACTTTAGCCGGGCGGTGGTGGTGCATGCCTTTAATCCCAGCACTCAGGAGGCAGAGGCAAGGAGAATCTGCCAGTCTGGTCTTCAAAGAGAGTTACAAGACAGTCACCAAACCTACAGAGAAACCTTGTCTCGAAAAACCAAAAGCAAACTTTAAAACCATATTCTCAGGGGTCCCAAATAGATTAGTATCATAATGAGCTTATGATTACAGAGCACCAACTGTGTACAGCACTAGGTTCAATCGCACTACCTTACTGAATCTTCGACAAACTGACCGGGAGGGAGAACATGGTGAGGGTAGGGTTGAGCCTCTTACTTCTTAGTAAACAAAGGATTTTCAGACACGAGAGATGTGTTCACTGACTTTGTGGTTTTAGGTTAGCATTCTCCATCTTGTCTGCAAGTCAGAATCTCTTGGAGAAACTGCTTCTTTAAAATTCTAATACCCAGGCCATTTTCAAGAACAAGGATTCTACAGCTGTGGGGTTTTCTTCTCCCACAACTTTTTAGAAATCAGATTTCAAGTAGGTCTCATTGCAGCACTTTGACATATAATGTGCTTTTATTGACATTCCTACTCTTCCCTCCTCCCCCTTCAGCAGTCCCCTTCCCTTCCAGCGTTCATGTCACATACTCTATTACCCCTCCCTTCCTGAAAACCTCTATTTCCCATCTTAGTTTCCTTTCTAGTTTCATAACCTATCCTCACAATCGCTCTCACACACACAAAACACAGAACCCGTCGTGAATTTGTATGTCATTCTGTCACAGAGGCCATGCTAATCTCGGCATCATTTCAATTTCAGCTTATGTGCTGCCGAAGGGAGCACACTTCTAGTTCTCCAATTCTACAGATGACTCCAAATAACTCTCTGACGGTCCTTTACGGCCTGTCCCACGTGACCCCGGCTCACGTGGGTCAGCTAGGGCTAGACGCAGGTGGCCCTTGGTTCAGGTTGTTTCCACCCACTCCGCCTTGGAGGGCAACCTCTAAAGTCCAAATCTACCCAGCAGTTTCCCAACAGGCACTGTCTTCTTTAACACCGGACCTTGCTAACTAACTCCCCTACCAGCCTGCATTGGTTCTTCAAGGGGCAGGCCCAAGTGTTTCCCATCTACCTACTGTTGTCAGCATCTCGCAGCACCGGGCCACTGAGAAAATACCTGGAGTGAAACGCACTGTGCTGGAATGAAGGGCCAGGTGCATAGGATTCAGTGACCACTTTGTCACATTCCACCAGAAGCAGGAGGCTGGGTCCGTTGTCACAGTAACACTGGTAAGAACAGTAACAATTAGTGAGTTCTTACCGAGTGTCAGGCATTGTGCTAAGCCCTCTCAATGCACTAACTGACCCTAGACTCCACAACCACGTGAAGCAAGTCCTATTACTATCTTCATTAATCAAAATTAGACAAGGGACAGCTTGGGCTCTCTTCTGAACCATCTCTGGACATAAAACGCCCGACTTCTTCATCTGCAAGCCGGAATCAAGATAAACCCGGCAGCACCAGACAGATAAAAGTTTAGTTAACACTACTGCTGCAAACCGGAAGTCGCTCCCAGCAGAACGTGGAGCCCCTCCTCCGCCAGGTTTCTCCAGCTTGGGAAAATCCTACTCATCTAGCCGGCCACTCCCCGCACGCTCCGGCCGGGGGGTCAGCCCGGGCCTCTCTGCGCCGCCTGCCAATCGCCACGCGTGTTGGGGTGACGCCCCAGCAACCCGGGCAGGGCCACAGGCCCGGCGCTGGCAACGGTGCAGAGGAGCCGGCCCCGGGGCGCGCCGGAGGCGCAGGGCCCGGCCGCCCCGCCCTGTCCTCTGGCGCCCACGAAGCCGGCCGCCCGGTCCCGGAGCCCGGCTGGCGTCCACGGAGCAGCCCCGGCCCGGCCACCCGGCTCTGCCTCGCGCACTCACAGCGCGTCCCCGCCGTACCTTCCGGCCGCCCCGCCGAGCCCGGCCCGAAAGTTCCGCACTACGCCCTCGCCGGGGGCCCAGCTCCACGCTCGCGGCCAGGCCCGCAGACACCCGGCTCCACCTGAGCACCGCCTCTTCCGTCTCCAGAGCTGTCAGCTGAGAGGGGCGGGTGCCAACGTGGGGAGGGCTCTGCGCAGCCGCCGTGAGCGCCGCTGCCTCCGGAGCGCCCTCCACAGGCCGTGGGCGGCGCTGCAGGCGCCTCCACCGACCGTACCCGCAAGCTCAAAACACTCTTTGGCACAAATGCAGTTTCGAACCCATGAATTCGCGGGTCAGACTTGAACCTGAAGTAACGGTCTACCCAGAGGCAGACATTCCCTTATCAATCCCAGATTTGCCCTTGAGGTGAACGACTGCATCCATCTTCCTATCTGAGAATGCATTAACTCACTGAGTATAGGATAACAGTATTTGTTGAGTAAGTTACAGGCTGCAAACTATATATGCACATTTTCCCGCTCTTTATCAAACCTTATGGTTTGTGTTCTGTTTGCTAATCTCATTTCATAAAAGAAGTTGAGACTCATACAATAAGTTACTAAAAGCCACATGATTATTGAGATTTAAAATTACATGCCTCCTACATCATAGCATAATTAACTAAAATGAACCGAAGACTTAAATGTGAAAGGCAAAACTATCAAACTCTAGGAAGAAAATATAGAGATCTTCAGGAACTCAAAGAAGGAAGGTGTGTGTGTGTGTGTGTGTAGCAAATAAATTGGATTTATCAAAATTAGAAACATTTGTGCTTAAATGAACGCTAGTAAGAAAGTGAAAAGACAGTCCACAATATAGAAAATGTTTTCAAATTATGCATCTAATAAAGATGTTTCACCTAAAATACATGATTCTTGTGAGTCTGAGTATGGTAGGCACTGGGGAGACCAACTCAAGAAAACTGAGTGTCCTGGGCCAGCCTGGGCTATATGAGGAAACGTCCAAGCATAGTGGGAAAATAAAAAGAATTTATGGGGTACAGATAAACAAGCAGGAACTTTCACACACTGACAACTGAAATGAAAGATGATACAGGCACTGTAGAAAAGTTTGGCTGGTCCTCAGAAAAGTTAAATATAGGATTACAATAAGACTCAGCAATTCTACTCCTAGGTACTTAGGTGAACTTAAAAAAATACCAACTAATATTTGCATGAACAGTTGGTCATAAATGTCCATATAAACAATAGATACAAGAACCAAAAAGTGAAAATCCAAAACTCCATCAATGAGTAAACAGAATGTGGTATATTCAACAATGGAATATTATTGAGCAATTAAAAATAATATACTGATACATGCTCTAACATGAATGAACCTGGAAAGCATTAAGCCAAGTGAAAGAAGTCAGATATAAAAGGCCACATTATATGAAAAGTCCATAGAAAGTAATGGTAGTAAGTGGGTCAGTGGTTAACTGGAGGGTCTGGGATGTAACTATTTGTGGGTATGTTTTGAGATGAGAGCAATGGAGAATTAGCAGTGACCATTGCACAACTTAGTGGATGTGTTAGATACTGCTACATACTGCTGATTTTATGTGTGTGTGTGTGTGTGTGTGTGTGTGTGTGTGTGTGTGTGTAGTACAGGTGGAGTATATCTCAGTTCAACAGGAGGGGGCTTACACAGCATTGTTCCTGACATTTAAACAGAACACAGAAATGTTGTTCTGCTCCTGGGAGCCGGCAAGCTAATGTGCTTCTAACGATCTAATAAGGTCCTGTGTTCTCATTCCGTATCCACCCCACCCAGAAGATTACAGATCTGGGACTCTAGCCCAAGCATGCAGGGTTCTGAAGGTCTTATTCAAGTGAAATCCCCGGGAGTAGGTACCGATGAGCCACATACCTGATGCAAAGGGACGAAGGAGAACCTCCAATGAGACCAAATACCTCAAGACCGTTCAGGCATAAAGAACAAAGGGGCCCAAGAATCCGCTCAAGAGAGTCTGAAATTGGAGCAGGGGGTGAATTGTGACATCATTCCATGACCTCACACCGAAGGTCACAGCTCTGTGAGGAAGGAAGAGAGTGTTTCAAAGCAGACTCAACAATTTGGTGGAAGTTAAAAGCAAATTAAACATTTAAAGTATAGTTTTGAGAAAAAGATTGGATAGAGTTTTTTAATAAATTTTGTCATTAGACTCCATGAAAATAGCAGGCTTTTCTCGCTTGGGTTTTCGGCTGCCTGGTTAGTTTTTCAGATTGAACTTTTCCCTTGTGTCCAACTCTTCACTCTATTAAGCATTTTATATGCATTACCTCATTTAAAAGCCCAGGACCCCGTGACTTAGGCAATTTTGTCTCCCTATTTTGTAAAGGAAGAAATCGTGTTAGTAGGATGAAGTGATCTTTCCAGTACTGTTATGTGACACAGCCAGGATGGGGACAGATTCCTCGTGGTCTAACTCCAGTACCCTGAGAGAATTAGAATTTGCTGCAGCAGTAAATAATACAGAGGAAGAAATAGTTCTTGTCCAAAGCTGTAAAATAGAAATTAGTTTCAAACTTGATAATACAATGAAGCCAGGCATGGTGGCATATAACCTCAACATTTTGGAGGCTCAGGCAAAAGACTTGCTATAAGTTTGAGGCTAGCCTAGGCTACAGCAGTGAAGTGAATGCCAGTTTGTCTAGGCTACAGAATAAGACCCTATTTCAATATATATATATATACATATATATATAAAGATTTATGGCATAATGATAGGCAAAAATAAGAATTCTGAGAGTGGAGGAAACAAACTCCATCCTCTGGCTGAAGATGAGGGGCCAAGGCTGTCAGAGAATGGAGTGTGTGAGCTACACCAGGTGCATAGACCCAGACCATGAACAGAGAGCGGGAACGAATCGCACAGTGGGACAGTTACTACACAAGCCATGCATCAGCAGGCCTTCCACCAGGCCCCACACTCATTGCTTCCCAGGAGGCATCCAGAAACTCACTTCTGCACACAGCCTTCTTTCCAGGGGCCGTCATTCCAGGGGCATCCCCAAACCAGGCCATTTACACTTTGAGACAGCAACAGTATGGAAAGAAAAGTTCTGTCCAGCCCCAGAAGAACTGGATGCTGGAGAGGGCTGCCCAGCACAGAAGTATCACTGACGTTTAAATTTTGAGTTTTTCCAGGTCTGGACATTGAACGCAGGAACTTACATATATAAGGCCAGCGTTCTGTCACTGTGCTATCCTACTGCGGTGGTTTAAATAAGAACTATCCCCATAGTTTCAGGCATTTAAGCACTTGGTGGCCAGTTGGTGGTACTGTTTGGCGAAGTTTAGAAGGTGAGGCCTGGCTGCAGGAAGTGTGTCACTGGGGGCAGACTTTACGACGAAAGAACCTTGCCTGTTTTCAGTCTCTTCTCTCTGACTCACACTCACAGCACAAGATGTGAGCTCACAGCTTCCTGTTCCTGCCACGGTGCCTGTCATTCGCTGCCACGCTCCCAGACTCTCATTCTTCGGAACAAACCTTCTTCTGTAAGTTGTCTTGGTCCTGGTGCTTCATCTCAGCAATAGAAAGAAACTAAAGATAGATGTTAGTACCAGACAGTGGGCTCCTGCTGTGAAGAACCTGACCTCAGTTGTTTTATTCTCTTGGAGGAATGTGGAAGACTAGGAAGGTGGTTGAATGCTCTAAGCAGAACACAGTGGACTCTTCTGGGATCTTGGAAGAGAGCACTTAGTGCAATAAGGACTGTAGAGGCTCAACTCAAGTGATTTCAAAGGGGAATGTTAGCAGCTGGGCTAGAGGCCTTTCCTGTGATGTTTTCACAAAGAATGTGGCTGCCTTCTGCCCTTGTCCTAAGAACTTGCCTGAGGCTAAATCAAATAGCGGTGAGCTAATTTTTGGGGGG